TTGGTTGTGAAATTTTTGTACAGCTCACGAAGAATCTTTATGTACTGAGTAGGGACACCTTGACTATCAAGGGCTTCCCAGATTGCTTCCATCTCAACTGAATCAAAGGCTTTCCGTAAATCGCTGAAAGTGAGACAAAGCGGTCTTTCGTACTCTCACGATACTTAAATAAACCGTGTTACCGCGTGGATGTCGTCGAACGTACTAAATGCTTTTCGAAACCTTGCTTGCTCACACGGCTGTCCCTCGTGTAGTGTTCCGTCAACCCTCTTTAGGATGACTAAAGTGGAAAGTTTGTAGACGACAGACAGTAAGTCCGAACAATAACGCGGTCTCGTTGGTTTTCCACTGAGTAGGGGTCTTCCATTCAGACAGGTTGCGTGTGAAGAGCTGAGCCAGTGTGTTTACGAGGACTGGCGGAAGGTTCTTCAGGTGTTATGGCCTTATCCTGTCCGTGCATGTCGGATTTCGGAAGGGAGAACCGGTGGTACAACATATCCATCTTCCTTTATTTCATATAACGGAAGGTGGGTGTGGCCATCGAAGAGATCCGAGTAGTATTCGTGAATGATTTTCTCCATTGCCTTTCTGGACGCTGTAGCTGCTCCGTCTGGGCGCCGGAGTGCAATCATTTTGGTATTGTAATTGGCGAAGCTCGGTGGGCTTTGCTAACACTTTTCACGGTCTCTGCAGCTTCGACAATAACTGCTGCTCTTCTCTCTTTAAGATCTTCTTTTATCGCCTGTCTGCATTGGTTTGCAAGTTCGGACGTTAGTTGGCGGTTGCCTGCAGCTCGTGCAATTCCACGCTGGCGTAACAGCTCGAGTGTTTCCGGAGACAAACGTCTCTTGGTGACTTTCGAACTCTGAGCTTTCATAGCGCTAGCGTAAAGATGTTGAATGTGCCGATGGTATTCTTCGTCGATGTTATCGACAACGGCATCTTTCCAGCAGCCTACTAATGAATTGAATAAATCCCAGTTTACGGTGGTTCTGGGTCTTGGGTTTTGGAATTTAGTGGCTTTTCCTCCTTTCATCAAGAAATAGGGTTAGCACCAAGTATACGATGGTCTGATCCCGTGTGCTATTTTGGGGCTTCTGGAATTGCAACTTACCATGGATTGTCTTGGTCACCATGATAAACTCAGACAGCCGCTCACCCTGTTCATTCCATTCTAATCCGTGGGTTCCAATGTGACGTTCTTCTTGGTCCAATCTTGGCGTTGAAATCTTTAATTATGACCTTGAGGAATGTATGGTCTTGTCTATAGAACTCTGCAAGTCCATATAGAGCGCTTCGACTTCTTCGCCATAGTCTGATGACGGCGCGTAAACGAAGACGAAGATTGCGAAAGCCGGAATTGATCCACGTCGTTTTAATCGTAAACGTCTGATTCGGGTTGTAAGTTGTTCGAATGAATCGATGTTCATGGGCAAACTCGTGTTGACGAGAGCGCCGACGGCACATACTATTGTCGCATGTTCCGAGGAAGTGTTGTTCTTCGGTGTCTTGGACGGCGTTGAAAGGCTAGCGTCTTCTCGTCTCGGCCATGCCGATGACCTCGTACTTTATTGTTTTTGCTTGCATGGACAAGTCTTCTATCGCGGATTCGGATGCAAGTGTACGTGCATTGTAGTTACAGATCGTCACCATAGTTTTTGACATTCAGGCAGCTTCCATTGGACCTAAAATTTTAGCCGCCTCCCCGTACTCGTCCTACCCAACCCTATGAAATTGGTGGCCCTTTCGGGGTGAGGAGAATGAGGCCGTTTTCCTTTACTATGTTTAGTATTTTTGATACTCACGTATAGCTTGCTTGGCTCTGAACGTGGGGGCTGGGTATACTCGCGGGTAGCTTGCCAGGCTCTACCAGAGTGGACGTGGAGCTTATTTGTTGGAGGCATCTCCTAACCGCCTTCCATATACTTCCTGTCACTTGATTGCGGACTTTTGGCCGAATTGACTTGTAGAATACATTCCGCATAAGCAAGATCGCACCCACACACGCATGTATTAATACGCCTAGCAAATACAGAAAGTATTTGCCAAATCAGCGCAGCAGAAACAGGAAGTCCGTCCCCTAGATCCACCTGCATCTCAGAAAAGCAAAGGTCGCTTTTGGTCCGCGATTACCCCCCTATCCGCCACCTTGGGACGCGCCACGTAGGCTCGCGATTAACCGGCTCGAAATCACTCATATGACGGAGATCCGTGGTGTCCAGTTTTCCTTTCAGTCCGTATTTTTAGGCTGAGGAAAGACATAGTGCTCGTAATCAAATGTTGAAGTAAGTAATGCTATGTCATAAGTGGTCAGCATTTGATCAATTCGTGGTCGAATCCACTTTCAGAAAACATGTTGCGTAAATTGCAGTGCTACAACATCATAATATGCTTACAGAAAACATTTTACACATATATATGAGGCGGATAGGACAGTGGTAGTAATGTCCTTAGTGATCATTACGACCATGGTGCTAGTTCGATTCCGCTCGGACCCAACCAAGCTTCTCATCCCTCAGAGGTCGAAAAATTGGTACCGGACTTGTCTAGGGAAAGTTCACTCTCTGCAATCCAATAGGAAACGCTCCAGCTCGGCTATCTCTGGACTCCAGGAAGAATTGCTGGGCTAACATTCTATGAGGTTCAGGATGAAATAAAAATCCTCAAACAGTAACCTAAGCCACGCATGGAGACTTGGAAAATCATCATGGGGCGATGTGTGCGAGGAAACGAACTGGATGTGAGAAGTGCTANATGACGGAGATCCGTGGTGTCCAGTTTTCCTTTCAGTCCGTATTTTTAGGCTGAGGAAAGACATAGTGCTCGTAATCAAATGTTGAAGTAAGTAATGCTATGTCATAAGTGGTCAGCATTTGATCAATTCGTGGTCGAATCCACTTTCAGAAAACATGTTGCGTAAATTGCAGTGCTACAACATCATAATATGCTTACAGAAAACATTTTACACATATATATGAGGCGGATAGGACAGTGGTAGTAATGTCCTTAGTGATCATTACGACCATGGTGCTAGTTCGATTCCGCTCGGACCCAACCAAGCTTCTCATCCCTCAGAGGTCGAAAAATTGGTACCGGACTTGTCTAGGGAAAGTTCACTCTCTGCAATCCAATAGGAAACGCTCCAGCTCGGCTATCTCTGGACTCCAGGAAGAATTGCTGGGCTAACATTCTATGAGGTTCAGGATGAAATAAAAATCCTCAAACAGTAACCTAAGCCACGCATGGAGACTTGGAAAATCATCATGGGGCGATGTGTGCGAGGAAACGAACTGGATGTGAGAAGTGCTAGGATTCGCACAGTAGATGTGAAGCTGGATCAGATAATTAAAATTAAAAATATAAAATATAAAACTATAAATACAATCTTAACCCTTTTATTTACCGCCTTTTTCTTTTTAATGGCAGGGTATGTTGCGAAATATAACTCGTATATAATGCTGAGATATTTGCAAAATTCCGGACAATAGCCCGCGTTCGTTCCCCACCGCATACACCTGCGGTCCGGAGTTTTGCAAATATCTCAGCATTATATACGAGTTATATTTCGCAACATACCCTGCCATTAAAAAGAAAAAGGCAGTAAATAAAAAGGTTAAGATTGTGATTATTACTAAGCCTCAGCTTAACTGGGTTCAATGCCGATTTGGGCTCCCCAGATCAATCCCGTTGACGGGTGATTGCTGATGGCAAAAGTTCAATAGAACTAACTGAGAGACAGGCAAAATGAAGGACGCGGATGGTGTGGTGGTGAAGTGCGCTACACCCTGGAAAAGACAATAGCGCTCGTTCGTTCCCCACCGCATACACCTGCGGTCCGGAGTTTTGCAAATATTTCAGCATTATATACGAACTATATACACAATTTTCAAACCGGTCGTCATTTACTCTCAAAAGGAAAATAATTAAAATGTATTCAAATCGTTGAGCTTAAACGAGGGTGATAAATAGATTTATTTCCTGTAACGTTTCGGCAACTTCGTGTCCATCAGAGGCGATGATCGTGTCGGTGGTCCACCGTTGTTCGTTTAAAAATTGTTTTGCTATTCGCTCTGTGCCAGCCAACACAATACCGACTGCTGCAGAGTGAATTGTCCGTTGAAAAACAATTTATTATCAACGGGTATTCATATCAACAACAACCGCCCTGTAAAGAAGAGCGCTGCCAGGTGAGCATGGCTCATTTTGCTTTCACTGAAAAAGATCCCGACTCGGTACGGAATCGAGGACGCCACATCGAGATAACGAACAATTGTGGACCGCGGACACGAATCATCGGTTCTGATGAAGACAAAGACGTCGAAACGTTATCGGAAAAACTCTATTAACCAACCTCGTGTAAGCTCAACAATTTGAATATGTATATATATATATACATATATATGTATATATGTATACATATATATATATACATAGGTATCCATGTATATGGTGACAAAAAGGTTAAGTGCACATTTACTTGAATAGATGGTCATATAAAAAATTTTTTTTACTTTGTTTTTAATTGCTTTAAAAGTCTTACTTTGCTGCTAAATTGAGCCTCGAAGAGTTTATAGGAAAGGAAGACCAATGAGTGAATGGAAGCCGATTGATTTGAATATGTTAGAAGAAAATAAATTTGAGCAATAATAAGAAAGTTTAATTATATAAATGGTTCGAAAATATTAATGAAAGAAAAAACAAACGTAAAAACACCATCGAATGTCAAGATAAAAATATAGGAAAGTCTGAAATTAGGATTTTTTGAGGTTGTCACAGTGGTGATGATATCAATCGACACACTTAAGCCTCTGGTTCAAACCCTTCTCTGGTAAACGAAGACACCTCCAGTCACACTGAGTAAGCATGCACCAGCTTAGAAAATAATGACCCAATCGCAAATATATGACTGAATCACACAAGAGATGTCCCAGTCGCAATAATGCCGGTCCAAAATGGCGTCTCCTATCCAAAAGGATGTTAGAGGGCACTATTGCGACTGAGACAGGTTTCGTACGATTCGGTCATATATTTGTGATTGTGTTCCCTCCTGGGCTGAGCAGTTGGTGGGGGACTCGTCTGTGATCGGGCAAATTCCTTCAACCCTATGAAAATGGGAAAAAGGTTCGATAAGAATAAAAGAAGAACTGTGATAAAAATTCAGTGAAACCATTTTCCTTGTGACCTCGTCTTCGTAGGTTAACGTTGATGATAATGCATGATTTAGTTGCTGTTATACCAATCTATCTAATCTCGTCCATTTTAGGTGCTATAGCTGAGCGAGCGAAATTGAAATCCTACATATTGCTAGGTTGTTTGGTGATTTTGATACAAGTAAGTTATATGGACTGGTGGATTTGTATGGATTGAAAGTTTTTCACTTAAGGAAGGTACTAAAAAAATGGTTTGTGTTTTTGTTTCAGGCATTGCCGGCACACTGGGTTTGGGACAATGAGGGTTTCTTCTATAAACTCGGAGTGGTGGATTTCGCCGGCTGCTCAGCTGTAAATTTTTAAGAACATGTTTATTTTCCTAAAGCGAAGAAAACATAAAATATGCCTTTTGTTCTAAGTAGAAACTCAAAGGGAAAATAACAATGGTCGCTCGTCTAAACACCAAAAATCTGTCATTCTCAAGCTTTTTGATCGGTATCGGCAATAGTGAGGAACTGAAGCGTGTCATGTGGGTGAACAGAGTCACTTATTGCTGATGGATTTCTCTGGACCGCCTTCGAAAACCTTTTAAATTGGTATTCTGCAGTAGTGCACAGCTGATTAGAAAAAAGAAAGACGAGTAATCTTGCTTCGAACCATTCCAGGTACATATGGTAGGTGGAATAATCGGCTTGGTTGCAACCGTCTATCTGAAACCACGTCGAAATCGTTTCAATGAAGACAGCGTTCATCAGATGAGCTCACCGACGAACGCCCTTCTTGGTGAGATGTCTTTTACCGTCAGTCATCGTTACATTCGAGTTTCAATGTTATCTTTAACAACAGCATACCATAGTTTTTAAGATTATTGCCCTTGTCACCGCTGTGTTATGAAAGTGAGCACTTAGCCAAAAATATCGATTTATTTATTGCGAAAGCAAAAGTTTGAGTGTTCGACATTAATCAATTCATTGGGATGCACCATCTATCCGACTTCATTCGTAGAATAGTAGAGGAGGCTGAATGCCTGTCTGACCAACTTAGGAAAGCCTACCGATATACTAAGTTAGTTCTCTCAGATACTCTCAAACATGTTTAGTAACAATTTCGTCAGATGGACGGAAGAGTTTCCTAGTGCAGGACGTATGTATGTACCTATGACCACCTGAATACTCCCGGGCAGCTCCTACCACTGCACCACACGTACTTTCGCGGTTAAAATAATGCTAGCAGAGATTATGATGACATCACCAAATGTTACCATCATAAATCTGTTCAAATCACAAATCTTACACCACGACATGCTAAGTGATGCAGTTCAGGGCATTGTCGTTATTCGACATTATTGTCACTTTCAGTTTGGATTGGCTTGATAGAATTTCATAGGATTACTTATAAAAATTGGAGAAAAATCATTTGAGTTCCCACAATAAAGAAATATATTACCAATTTCTATAATAATTCCAACTTGTTTAGGAACATTTCTGCTTTGGTGGGGTTGGTTCGGTATCAACGCTGGATCTGTGTGGGGCATCACCAGCGGACGATGGCGACTTGGCGCGAGGTGAAATGGTGTTTTAACTCTCGAAAGCGGAAATCCGCCGAAACGTCAGCTCATTCGTGAATAAAGAATAATAACACCTCGCGTTTGCTCAACAAAAATGCGAAGAATTACTTGATCAATGCCGAGGTTAATAGAAAGTCGGTCGTGGGAGAATGATATTCGTTTCCGCGAGTTCTTTGCTGATCAACAGCGTTCAGAACTATATATCTTTTTTTCATCCACAGTGGTGTAATCTTTCTCTCAAGTCTTTGTCTTGTCATTGCCAATGATCACCGTTCTTCGGTTCAACAGCGAGGCAATGTCTGACAAGTGGTGACAACCTTCTAAAGCAGTGGCACAATTTTTTCAAAATAGAAGAAAATGTTAACCAGCAGCCAGCTTTCCATTGAGCTGGAAAATGTGTTGGATTGTTTGGTCGAGTACAGGAATGAGCTTATTGAGCCTTCACTCTTTCAGAGCTGCTGTGGCGACTATAATGAGTTCAATCGGAGGTGGTGTTACGTCGATCGTCATCAGTTTCGTTAAAACAAAAAAATTACAAGTAAATTTCTTAATAAACGGCATTCTCTCATCGATCGTTTCCATCACAGGTTCGCGCTTTAGAATTTGTATTCATAAGCTAGACATTAATAATAATAATAATAATAATAATAATAATAACAATGACAATAGTAATGGCTATTATTATTGCCGTTGGAGTGCCGTTTAGTTCTTTCTATGACTTCTTGCGCATCTTGAAATGTACTGCCATACGAAGTAAAGAGAAAATAGCTTCTTAAAGACAGTTAACTAGGTTTTCTATTTAAGAACAATCAGAGCGATCGGACTGGCTGGTTTTTTTCTTCCGCTATTTGCGTTCTTCTAACAGTTTTGTACCACCCAAAAATAACCGTGTTTTTTCTTCACGAAGTGACCTACAGTCATTCATTGGTTGAAGAGATTGTCATCTAAACTTGAAGCTAATGCGTGGATAACATATTCACCAACTGCAATAATGCATATTAAAAATCCTCAAAAAGGCAATTGGCTTACATAACCTGGAAAGAGCAAAACTTCACGGAGAGTAATAAATTAATAAATCACCTGTACCACTTAGTATCCTGATGATGGTTGAACTCGAGTGGGTGCCAATAAAGCATCCATTCCTCCCTGCCGGGTGCAAGTGAAGCCCAATTAGTTCTGCTCGATCTAGGGACTCGTTGAGTATCATACTTTCCTTTTAGGATTCTTGTGAAGAACTCTGATTATCGGATCAGTAGTCTTCCTGATCTGCGTTTAACACCACGATCAATCCAGTCACTCTTGATCTCTTCAATTGGTCTTGCAAATCGGTTGCCGTTCATATGCATTAGGCGTCCGGCACACCTTAACTTCACCAGTTTGATATATGGAGACTCAAAGCATCTTGTTTCGACTATAACCCATTTATAGCGTTGGGAGATCTTTCATCCTCCCTACGTAGTGACCGAGTTCCTGACGCATGCGTTAAGACAAGAAAAATTGTGGAGTCGAGAAGGTGGTCATGGAGTCGGGTGTTTTTGTTCTCACTAAATCTTCAATGCTTTGTATGCTTCCTAAGCTGGTCGCTTCCTCCCGCTCAACTTCGGAGTTAAGAAGTTCACCTTGTCGACATGCCAGCCTAAGTGGACGTCTTTCTGGCGTCCAGAGATATTCATTCCATCGATCGATATGGACATCTTTTTGTGAGATTTAGTCGAAGGCCTATCTTTCCATAGGCTTTATCAAAGTCGTCTAGCATTCGTTCCGCTCGGCTGTTTTGTGTTATAAGAATGATGTCATCAGTAAGGCGAAGATGGTGTAACGAGTAACTTATCGTTCTCTTCCATAATGGACGAGGAGCTTATTTGTTGAAGGCGACTCTTAACCGCGTTTCATATACTTCGCGGCCACTTGATTGCAAGCTTTTAGCCAAGCTGAGTCGTCGAATAGAGTCCGCATAAACGACAACACGCACATACACGCATGCATGAATACGTCCTCTTAAACAGAAACGGAGTACATCGCCTGGATACATCTGCTTTATAGGAAAGCAGAAGGTTGCTTTTGGTTCGCGACTAACCCCTATGAGCCACCATGCGACGCGCCACGTTGCTTCGAGACTAACAGTCCTCAGATCACCCCATGAATTAGATCGGTCGAATTAAGAAATAGGAAAAAACTAAGAAGTAAAAAAAGAAACGATGATGTTCGCCATAATTTTCACATTGTTTTTTACACCACTGTAATTGATTCGTTTTGCATATCTTTATTTACAAGACAACTGTAGAAAAATGGTACACATCATTCTATTATCTTCCACCTTCAGCTTTATGTGCAATGTCTCGTGCCTGGCATGCCTTAATAATTGGGGGTGTCTCGTCAGCGTTCTCGATCTCAATACTTCCACTTTTAGAACGTTTTAAGGTCAGAACCTTTTTTCTTGTCTGTCGATTCAGCCAAATCTTCCAATATTTTGCTACGTGTTGAAATCGTATGGTTCTTTTTACGACAATGTATCAGTTTAGGTGGATGACCCCGTTGGTATTGTGCCGATTCATCTAACCTCATCCATATGGGGTATGACTGCAGTTGGAATTTTTTGCGAGAAAGATCGACATTTGGTAAGATTTCTCACATTGTTGGTTAAATCGGCTGGTTTTTTAAGACTACTCAGTGTTACCACTAATCCAATATATAAATTCTATCGAAGAATTCACCAATGAGACGCCTTCACGTTTTGTAGTCAGTGAATGAATATTGTAAGAGAATCTAATTTAAAAAATCTACTTTTAACGAAAATAACGTTTACTTTATCACATAATTTATCACCCTTCTTTTGGCTACTGTTACTTGCCTACATATTTGGATTCTTGGATGGCACGTTTTCACTGTTTATGGGAGCAAGCAGTTTCCGCTCGTTTCCCTCTCGCGAAATCTTCGAACTTCGGAGGGTAGAATCGCGGGTGCTTTTTCATCTGCGGTGATTTCGGGGTCCGAGATAGAGATTATGGAAGGGAAACGATTGCTGTAGAGCCTTTCCGTTATTAATTCCATATTATAGTGGGATGTAATAAAAGCGCCTTGTTCGATCAGCAGAGTGGATAACGGAACACCATTGTCGCAGAGATCCCCACGGCACTTCTTCAGAACAGATATTTTTTGAGTTGCTTACATTAACGTTTTCTGCCTAGACCCAGGTAAATTCTCTTGAAAATTTCTTTTACAGCTAACGTTTGTTATCAGCCGTATAAGATGTCTTGCATTAGTACCAAGCTTCACTGGCATTGTAGATGAGGTCTGAATTTCTTGTGTGAGAAACTGAGACGAGCTCAGAAAATGTTTTAAGTCATACGACAAGCAGCGTGTAGCCCTCGGTCAGATCATCATCTATCTTTCAGTTATATGAGGAGATCATTTGATTGCGAATAACGTTGTCATACACGACATGTTTCGTTTCTCCAGTACAATTACAGGAGCTCTTTTCCAGCTCATACCTGAATCTTCGCACTGAGAATGCTGTGATCATAGCCAGTACAAAATACTTAGTTTGATTATTGTTGCTGATAAAAAATATATGGATAAGTTAAATGCGAAACACATCTAGGGGATTCATCCTTCCATCATGGTTTCTCAAGCTGAGAAGAAGTCCGACGTTTCTATCAGGATGCCGGAATCGAACTAGTAGCATGGTGGCAAATCTCCTTTTGATCCACAAGAGCAGCAACTGCCTGGTGGTGACGACCTGGAGTAGACTTTTGCCTGCCTGACCTCGGGACTCCGAGGAACTACAATAGCCAACCCAGCAAATCCACAGAGAGTGGAAATTGCGCTGGGTTCCACACTACCAGTGAAAACGGGCCATTCAAGTAAGTAAGTAATGCGTATATATGGCTTGCACAGTTGGTCTATTTGTCGAAATGTAAAGCCAATCCTGCTATCTTCGTGAACCAGTCCGATACCTACTTGAGAGAGAACGCTTAGTAAGTTCGGGACGCAAGATCGAACTAATGGCACGGTTTTATTACAGAGCTCATCTAATCACTGTAATGAGCAACGCTGTCTTTTTATTGTTACATGATTTTCTCAAAATGCAGCGAAATGGGTTGATTGTTAAGCACCAAATCATGGATATTTCAGATCGGCGCCACAAACGGTCACTCAGGCTTACTGTATTCAGGAGAGTTCACGTTACTTGGTGTTCAACTTCTTTGTACACTGACGATATTAGTTTATAGTGCATCATTTGGCCTACTAATATTGGTGGTAAGTTGATTTTTGATTTTCCTTTCCAAGAAAGGTACTGTCTTCACTACCTTATCTATTCGATTTTTATCGTTAATGCTTATTTAGTGATGTAAAGTACTGCATCATAATAGTTTTCCTTTTAATTCAATCAAATAAAAAGCTATGAGCTTTTACCAGTTACGAAACAGATGCGGCACTATTTCGTTGCTTCGCAATCGATGTTACTTGTAGTACACGAGAATGATATGATGACAAAAATCAGTAGTAGAGTTTCTTGGTAATCGTTATTTAGAGTTTCACCTGTATTACCTGTAGTCCCGTTGATCGTCGAATGACTCGAGCGGGCGCCAGTAAATCTTCCATTCTTCCCTGTCGCGTGCAAAACTAGTCCAGTGGGTTCTGCTCGCCCTAGGGACTCGCTGAGCATCATATCTTTCTTCTACGCTTTTCGTCAAAACTCTGTCCATCGGGGTGGTCTTCTTACAGTGCGTTTAACATCCCGAGAATTCTAGTCACTAACCGCTGTTGTCCACCGGTTGTCGACCATACACATTACGTGCCTGGCCCATCTTATCTTTAACTGCGTGGCGTACAGAAAAGCAGCTCTGATCTTTGATCGTTGACGTAGGTCTGTGCTTCGGATCCCTTCCCTCAATTGTATGTCACGGGATACTCCCTCAGCATCGCGGTTTCGAATCCGCGTCCCATAACGCTGAGAAATCTTTCATCCTGATTACGCGGCGACCAGGTTATCTGATGCATACGTTAAGGCAAGAAGCACCCGAGAAGGTGGGCACGGAGTCGGGTGTTCTTTGTTCTCTTCACTACATCCTCGATTCTCTTGAAAGATATTATTAAGATAAAGTTATTTAGAGTAGTTCTAAGAAAAGCACTATGGTAGGACCATTTGCTTTAAAAGAACTCCTAGGCGATGCTTCTGCTTCGTTGAATGACTCCTAAGTAAGAAAACAAGAACAAGGTTTACTCATGGTGAAATATGTCTCCATATGTACTCCATATGTCTTTTCAGTTGATCAGTAAGAGCCCATTGGGACTACGTGTTACCGATTACGAGGAGCAGATCGGAGCCGATGTCATCGAACACGGCTTAGCTGGAACGAACGTCGCCCGATATGTGATCGAAAAACCGCTCAGCACCAGGTATGTTACATAGCTCTCGTTAATCTACGAGAGACTAAGTATTTGAGGATAAATCCGAGTGCTGAATATGGTAGAAGCAAAAGAACAAGTTTCAATAATTATACCATGACAGATGCGTGAGGAAACCAATTCTGTTCCGTGTTTGATTATATTCGCTGGTTGAATATTCTCTCAATAGTTTGTAGAACATTTCAAACGGTCACAAAAGCGATAACGAAATGGAAGATGCTGGCAAAATCAAAAAGCCGAGCGAAACGAATGGAACAAATCAGACTAAAGCGATTGACCGAAGAACAGGCCTTCACTGCCCTCTCCCAAGAAGCAAACATTGCCAATGGAGGTAAACAAATTTCATTGGCAAGAACTAAAAAAGATAACCAAATTGAACACAAAGTGAGACCTTTGTTGAGCTTGTTGAGCGTTGTCTCATAATGTACTACATAGTAGAAAACCAGGCATATCGCCTACAGTGCAAAGATTCATGGAGTTCCATTCATCCCTCTCGCTTGCCACTCCTCTCCCTCCAAAACACTCTGCTCGTTGTGCACATGAAAGACATCAGGCTCTTTTCCGAGGCCAGCCTTTGTATGTAAAATATAGTTATACGTGGTGGAATATAGCAGCGGAAGAAAATATGCAGTAAAAAGGAGAACGTAATAGCACAAGATACAAAAACTACGAACTAAGATTAAGGCACTAGAAGTAGATTCTTGCATTTAGTATGACTCGCATTTAAATGTCAACTAAGAATTCTTTTGCTAGATGCTGAATTGAATGACACTAGTCATTTGTGCAAATTTTATATAACACGCTGATCTTTAAATTATCTAAATCAAGCACCTCATTGTTCTCTACTGTAATGTAGTGAATAATTTTCGATTCTTGTAGTAGCACGGACCGGTAACGGTGTGCTTCATCGTCGACGAGTGTCACGGATTTTTGAAGCTGCTGCCAGCTCTTTTAGTCCAAGAAGAGAAAGTCAACAACCATCAAATACTGACATCGAAGCACAATCTCTGGGTGATCGACCTAAATTCGGAACTCAAAGGTAAACAAACTCTCATCGAGAACGATCTCTTCTGTTGCTTTGTTAGACAAAAATGGTTTGAAATAACTCGAAAGACCGACTTTCTATAAACCTCGGCATAGATAGTTGATATATTTATTTATGTGATTTGAAATAATTCTATGTAAACGTGAGCGAAGAAGTTTACTTTGCTTTCATAATTTGAAAAGGCTAACAAATGTCCTAACTAGAATGATTTAGATTTGTTTTAATACTATCTTAGATAAAACATTATAGAGGGATAAAATCACATCAAGGCAGCGCTTCGTGTGAGAGAACGAAATCACTGGAAATGTTGAGTAGCGATGGAGTTTTACCTAGATCTGTTGATAAACTACCGCAAAGCGAACGTGGCTCACAAACCTCGAAGATCCCTAGCAGTAATACTAGCAGGAATGATCAGCTCGAGGATCACCAAGTTACCGCGAGTCAAATGACAGCTGCAGCCAATTGGGCACCACGGTAAGCCTCTGAGGTTTCATTTGTAACCGAACCAATAGAAACGTAAATTTATTACGTAAAAATTATTAAACACTCAGTTTTTTTTTCTGGATTAACGACCGTGATAATATCATCCGTTAAAGTATCCACGTTGTTGAAATATGTTTTGTGAATCAGATTTAGCATCCATCGTGCACTTCTCAAACTCACCAACCAAATTGTTTAGTGGATTTGGCCTTTGTTCTTAATGAATATAGGACAAAACGTTCTGCACTTATCATTTGCTGCGAGATCCATAATGCATTCATCTCCACTCGTAGCATCTTTGAGGTGACTGAATGCGTATCTGTCTTAAACAATGGCCCACGTAAGCCAGCCGATGTATCAATTCAGTGCTGCTATCTCTCCAGACATACCTGATACCAACTTGCCGACAACAGAAGCAAGGAAATCCTGGTATCCCGATCGTATCAAACCAACACCCGATTTGACATGTAGTGTTGCAGGGTGTGACTAACCAGCACACTGCATGCGGCTGTGCTTATCGCAAGAGAAAAGTGGGACTAGGTTTTTTCATTAATGTCAAACGCGTCAAACAAGTCTCTACAATTCGTATATTTAATCTCCAAGCAAAATTTCTCAGATCTTAGACAAAACTGGTAGATGATATGATATACTATCTATCACTAAAAAAACTAATGATAGTAATAGTAAACCTCTTTTAGGTACAATACCGTTGGAAAATTTATTCGACCACCACCAGCTCGGACGTTAAATTCGCCTGAGGATATGAGTCTAAGCGGCGATGACGACGTGCGTTCAATCTCGTCAGCTCCTCCACCACTCAGCAAAAACAACAAAGTTGCACCACAGTAGACCTTCCCGTCATTCTAATGCCCATAATCAACTTAATGCTACCGACAAGCTTTAGTGGTTTTAGAAGGATGTAGAATATCAGCCATCCAACTCGCACCTTTGACCTTCATCGAGTATTATGAGGAGTTTTTCTTTACTGGATTTATGAGAACGGGTCATAAGCTGATTATTGTGCCTTCAAAGATTTCTAAGCTGGTGTATCCGAAAGGTTTGTGGACGCGTAGCTGTTCACAAGTAAATAGAACCAGCGTACTGTTTTATTTTTAATGTTAATTTTCGTTGTTTATGCTTATTTGGTTCGAGTCTTAAATAAAAACCTTAATAAAAACTTGTTTGCCAGCGCCATAGTTACTCTTCGCAAAGAATCATGCAGATCTTCGTCTGCTACGGATTTTTCGCTGACAGTATGGAAAAGTTTTGAAAAACCTTAGATTCTTAATGTATAACTTTTACCTAATTCCCGTTATTTTTTTTACGGCAGAGTATTATGTGAAATACAGCCATAACGAGACCTATTCAACATTCAACATTCAACTCTTGTAACAGTAAGGCACTTCTAGGTTATGTTAAGTTTGAAATTCTTATCTCAGGAATCAGTAAGCACATAATCTTGGATCGTTATGGGCTTTTTGAAGAATAATTTCTTAGCGTGAGAGACTGGGAGGCAATTTCTCTTGGAGTTATGTGACGTCTGTCTGAGTAGCAAGACCAGGATAAAAGTACAAACAAAACTTTCTCATATCCATGCCGACCTGCATATAAGCTTTTATATAAAAACTGGCTGAGAAAAAAGCAAAGCAAGGGATTCAATGGTGCAGTTGGTAACAAGTAAGCCCGGGGTATGTATTCGCTGGTTTCATTGTGGCTTAAGGTCTGAGTTTAGCAAATGTCTCAGAATCATTGTGGTTGCATTTCATGTAGTAACTTGCTGTGAAAAAATAATAAACAGTGAATTGAAAGTTGTACATATTAGCAATATTAACCCTCTTACTTACTGCCCAATGTAGTTTCTCATGGCAGAGTACTATGTGAAATTCAACTACAATGATGCTGAAATATTCGTAAAACTTGGATTTCTGGGAAGATCGAAACAGGATTATTCTTTAGGGGCCGGAGCGTTACTCACCGCACCACTGAGGCCCTTGATTTACCTTTCTCACAGCAACTTTTCTAGCCAACGGCGCCACAAGAAATCACCGATCAACAGGGTTGATCTGGTGAGTACAAATCGGCATTGAACGCGGTTAAGGCTGAGGTTACAGCCGACATCGCAATTTTAACTTTTTTATTTACTGCCTACTGTAGTTTTCCCCAGCAAAAGGCTGTCGTGGGTTAATCTGGCCTGGAGTCCAAGTTTCCCGAATATCTCAGCATTATTGTAGTTGAATCTTTTATAATATTTTGATCAACGTACACGCGATTCAAGAGATGAGCTTTTCTACCTGGTGAATCAGGCTCTCTCACAAATTTTGTACATCAAGGTCGGGGCCGTAAATCTTGGAACTGAGCAACAGCAGGGTGAGCTCATATCATGGGAACAGAGCTAGTGTGAAAACCACTCAGGGAACAGCAAAGCACTCAAATATCTTAGTAGCGTCATCCAAAAAATAATGAAGAGAGAAGGATTGGTAAACTCGTCTTAAAGAGATTCACTGTTTTAACGTTTTGTTTTCTGCCTTCTATAATTTTCATGGCAGGTTACTAAGCGAAATACAACCACAACGTTGCTGAGATATTTGCAAAACTCTGGACCGCAGGTGTCTATGGTGGGGAACGAACGCGCTATTATCCTTTCCGGGGAGTAACGCGTTCACCACCACACCATGCGGGTCCTTTGTTTCGCACGTTTCTCAGCTATTTCTATCGATCTTTTCGCCACAGCAATCACCCGTCAGCGGGGTTGATCTGGGGAGGGTGACGGGTGATTGCTGTGGCAAAAAGATCGATAGAAATAGCTGAGAGACGTGCGAAACAAAGGACCCGCATGGTGTGGTGGTGAACGCGTTACTCCCCGGAAAGGATAATAGCGCGTTCGTTCCCCACCATAGACACCTGCGGTCCAGAGTTTTGCAAATATCTCAGCAACGTTGAGATTCACTGTGTTATCTGTATTTTTACTGACCTTCGAGTGACTTGAACGAGTAGCAAAATTTCAATCCGTCTTTGTAACATGCCAGAGCAGTTTTATAGGTCCTGTTTAACCGAGTAGTAAAACGACAACCATATTTGACCCATAGAGCTTTGACCATTAACTAGCATGAATTGAACTTGTCAGGCTGATATAGCTGATACATATAAATGAACACCGAAATGTTCCTAGAACGTCTACCGGGCGCGTCTCCTGAACGTTATGGAATCCTTCGACGTTATCGCGCTTTACACTAACGTATCGAATAACTCCGCAGTGCAAGCCGTCCTCGACCTTCTTGTGGAACACGAAGGAGGAATAAATATGTATGGCTGGTCTACTCAACAGCTTGTGTCTCTCGTAAAGAACTGCTTAATTGGCTCGATTTCAAGATGGTTTGGGAAATATTATACACAAATGAGAGGGCTACCAATGAGACAGCTGCTAGGACCAAGTCTCGCCATTGCGTTTATGTCTGAAATAAAACACCGTTCTTAGTCTCGGGTCGCTGCTTTACTGTAGTTGTATAAATCACTGCTTTACCATTTTCTCTACTCAGGAGGAGATGGGCAAATGCTTTGAATTATTCAATGAACAGTCAGAGTACATTAAAGTTACCTGAGAAAAACCGAAAGAGAACTGGCTTCCCTTTCTTAACGTTCAAATTGCCTTATCAGGTAGCGGTTAGTTGACATTTTGGTGTCGAAAACCAAGTAACAGAAACGACCTGGTTTATTTCCTCCTTTATTCACGGGGAGGGCGCTTGCGACAAGCATGTTTCAAACTACCGTCTGCATGCACAAATAGGAAACTAAGGAAAGAACTGCGGATCTTAGCTCAACCAATAGGCATTTCCAATGGCTATGAAATAACAACTCGCCAGGTACGTTTAGAAGAAGGGAGAAACTCCAAAATACACGGTTTGTCCGAAACAAAATCCGTTTGTCTTACCACTTATTAGATATGAAATAAGTGTAGCGATAAAGCTATGCTTAAGAATGGTAGGTCTAGAGTAATCGAAATCGGTAATCTAAATGACACCGGATACTATTCGTCGCCAGTTAGTTCGTAACCGCGTATACGACAGTCTATGTAGAACACAGATTCGCGTAATTTGCCCTTATATCAGGGACGGTGACTGCACGAGTTCAGGTTTACAAGAATCACTGTCCTCGCACAATATGCCAAAACTCCAACGAGCGAACTTCCTAAAACCTTTTGGATAAATGCCAAGAACCCGAAAATGAATAGCAGGAAAGAATGTCCAGAGATAACACGTGATCTATCCCCATATCTCAGAATTGCTTTTTAATTAGGGGTGGTGAAGTCATCAGCCGTATGAGACTCTAAGCGGCTCTACTTCCTGTGTGAAAGACAGGTATAAAAAAACGGTGGGTTTTTCGAGAACCTGCAAATCGCGTATTTATCGTTCAGGTTTTCATCTTTCTGTTTTTGCTGTTGAACCTTCTGAGATAGCAAATTACATATCACTGTGACTTTCCAGGCTCCGAAGAAGACGATACTGGCGAAACGTCGGCTACCGTTGTGTTGTATGTGTTCTATGCGTACGGAAGTAGGCGTGC